ATGTCGTCATAGACGAGAGGGTGTTGAATTCAACAGGAATTATTGAATTCATCACGTACATATTATCTGTATAACAATAAATTATTCACAAAATATTGTAAAACCAAATAATAAAAGAAAGAAATTTATGACCTAAAATTTTTGAAGAAATATTTGAAGTAATGTTATAAAGTTGAATTGAACAAAGGAACAAAGAAATTTCAAATGCAATGAAAGTAAATAATAACACTACATCTTACTAAATGGAAAAGTCTTTGAATAAAAAATAATTGTAAAAATACAGATAATTATTAGCACTAAACACATGGTTTAATACTAATTTTAAATAGGTATTTCGCTAGTTATAGATTTTTGCTGATAATTTTTCACAGTGATTAACTAGATCCTTAAAAAACATCTAAACTTACCACGAACTTATTGTAAAAGCGAAGAAATTTAAGTCGATTAAGAATAAATCTAGAGAATGAGGTTCTGGCAAGTCCTTGATGTAGCCAATTCCAAGGAAAAATTAATTGCAACGAGAACTTGTTACAATGACGGCTTGTCTCATTATCGTCCAAGAACTAACAAAATTATGTCATTATTTCTTGCCATTGTGTTTCATAAAACAAAATTAATTGGGCACTTAAGACAAAACGGGTTCTATTTCTCTCCGTTATATCTTACCCCCTAGCTAAACCATAAATATTAAGGAGGTGTTGTTTTCCTTTTGAAGTCGTTTTTGCTCAACAATTTGGATTCGAAATAATAACGCAATAACAACCTCTCAAACGGCTCTGGGGTAATTTCATATAAATAAACCAAATTCGTTCATCAAATTAAATAATATCTGTCAGCTTGATATCTATTTGCCAGATACAGGGAGTTTCGTATATCGTTTCTGGAAATTAGGTAAGATGATCAGCAAATGTTAGGGTTAGGTAAGGGACGGAATTTGTCATATTAAAATATTCAAATATTTGGTTTCATTCGAATATGCATATTACTCGATATTTGAAATTTATTCCTATTCAGTTATTTAAATTATTAATTATCGGTGACAATTTTTAAATGTAAATTGTTTTTAATAAGATGACTTACCGACTAAAGTGAATGGTTTTCCATGTATACCTGAAACAATCAAACAAAATATCATGTAGGTATCTAACAAAACAACCTAAATAAACACAAATAAAAACAGGGTCTAATTTAATGCGAATCGGACCCGCACACCACAGGTTATTTCTTATTCCTATGTTATGGTCATCATCATAAGGTCGTCAGTCCTAAGAATGGTTGGACACGTACCTCCACTCTTTCCTATCCTGAGCTAATCTACGCATTTCCCTAAAACTAGAACTTAACTTAACTTAACTATTTGTGAACAGTAACCTAATCTAGGTCTACCTCTACCCCTCCTAACTCCTGTTTCTGCCACTAATATGTCTCTGACCAGACCTTTATGTCTGAGAAGGTGTCCTACCAACCTATCTCGACTATTTTTTATTGACTTCCATAGAGTCCTCTATTCTCATATTCTTTCTAATACATCTTCATTTCTAACATTTTCTTCCCACGTTATCCTCATCATTCGCCTATAACACCACATTTCGAAAGATTCTAACCTTTTCTTTTCTGCCCACTGTCCATATTTCGCACCCTTACAGCGCCGTGCTCCAAACATACACCTTTAACAATCTTTTTCGAATTTCTAAATTAACCGTTAGCGAGCCAGAAGTGACTTCTTTTTATTAAAGGCGACACGACCCTGCGCTATCCTCTGCTTTATATTCCTACTACTCCTTCCGTCCTGACTTATCTAACTTAAAATCAGCCACTTGTTCTAATTTTTCGCCTCCTATCTTTATATTCGCTCTTTCCCTACTTTTTCTTCCCTTGCATACTAACCATAATATTTTAGTTTTGCTTTTATTTATTTCCATACAGTACTGAACTGTTAACTAAAAATATTTAATCCAGTGATAACGTATAATTTTAGGCTATATTATTATTAGTAGTAAATGTGAATTCGTAAATATTTATCAAATCAACCAGCGAGCGTATAAATTGCTAAAAACAAAAGAATCGACATGACTACGACAAGATTCACTTCATTTGTGTTGTCTTCATTTTTACAACACTAGGAAATAAAATAAAAGTTTGATTGGGTCAGAATCATAAGGTTTAGGTAGGAAAAGAACAAACGAACTGAAGTTAAACAGACATAGGACCCCATTGTGTGTATGGCCGATATATACTTGACCGCTTTTTTGGCTTGATTGCTAAAAACTTATGTTGATCGGATCATAAATATTTCAGTATTAGTGCGAGGTAGTTTTACAGGCCAAATGGTTATGATTATTGTATGAAAAAATGGGCCGAAACATCACTGAATAAAAAATGTTGTCCCTTAAACGATTGCTTTTAAATCGATACAACGATAGCGACCGCTATAATACCGTCACGTAGCGATTGGGAATCGTGATTAGCGTCACATGAATTTAGGGAGTACGACCGGAGGTCGTCAGCTAATAATAAGGGTAAAAGGGATAAACCTCATCGCTTATAGCCATTTGCAGTGCAAATAACGGTCATTTGGAAAACACATTAGCATAATGGCCGTTAATTTCAATAGCCGTAATCGTCGCTGTTGCAGAAAGCGTCAGATATACATTATACACGTATACGTGTACGTATACTATACACACACAGACACCTACATACGTAAGTATATATTTGTATATACATACATAGATATACAGTTACGCAACATATCGTGGGCACGTAGACTATAAATTAATCTCGGTATCAATGGGAACGATAATAGTCGACTGTCACTGGCTAGTGACAAACGCGTGGAAATCGGAAGTGTGGCCTGCAGTTTGCCTAGCTCGTTAACCGCGGAAGTAACTTCTGTTCGCTAATAGCCTTCACGGCCTACCGCTATTAGGCGCTGGCTGATACACTGAATTTTCATTTGCGAAAATACCCTCGCGACATGAGCGCACCCCTCTCTGTCCGCGTACTTCAACACTCACCCACTATTGACCGCAACCAATTGCTCGTCTATTTTCATAGGAGTAATTCATTAAAAAAGATTCCCGAAGTTGCGGTAATAGAAGGAACGAAGTCTATTGAAAGTGTCATTTAATTAACAAGGGCGTACANTTTGAAAAAATTATGCCAGGTAGCCTCTAGGAAAAATGGGAGACTGTATAATCGAAAATAATTTTAGGATGTGAAGATACTTATAAGTACCACTTTTGTAAGAAACTTTTTTTAGTATCTTCAACTATAAAGTAGTTATTGAAAAAACCCGCTTGGACATCCTGTATACAAATTCCCTTCCCGAATACTCCTACAGAGCTAATGTATAAAATATTCAAAAATAAACGGTGTATCGCTATCTAGTTGCTGCGAATGAAGCGTTAGAAAAGGCTTTAATACGGTATCGATATGCCAGAAATTAATCGAAACTACAAAATATGGATCGCAATTTCGATCTTGTTAGATCTCATGAGAGCGCCATGAGCGATAAACATCTAATACATGATGGAGTCGGTAATTACTTGGTGAAAATTCATAACTTTATATATAAACAAAATTATAAAGTGTTAGTTTTCACAATTTTAATATGTATTCATAAGGCCTTGTCTAACGTATGGAAGAAAGAGGTAAGGAGAAGTGTCTCATATAGGGAGAATGTTGTAGTATAACAAATCTCAACTATTTACGTATTTCAAAGTAATTTTGGTCATTGTTTATTTTTCGATCCTATTCTAATAATTTTTGGCGTTTTATTTGAAATTTACCCTGTTGCTACTGGGGCGCCACCCTAATTTAACGCAGTTTGTACGCAGTAAATACCCACTAGGTGGCGATATACTGTCCATTATATTGGTGATTTATATTTACTTCAGTATGTCCAAACGTTTTGCTTTCGGTTTAATATGTAACAAACAATTCAACTTTAGCAAAATTCATGAGATCATGATAACGCTATTTTGAATCAAGTCAACTAAATTTTCTGCCTTTTACCTATTCGCAATTACTGTAGGAATTTATATTACAAAGACGAATGGTACCTTATATATATATATACATATATATGAAGAAAACGTTCTCATTTTCCGAAATTTGTTTGGTAAAATCGATAACTGATTAGTTTGCAGGCAAGCCACGTCCGCAATTTTGCACGAGTTTACATAACGTTTCAATTCATCAGAAATGTCCACGTTTTTGAGGACAGCAATCTACAATCCTAGATAGCCACCAGCAAGAAGCCTGCAGCAGCAGAAGTAGGTAGTAGCTGCAGCATCAGTGACGATGTACTTGTTCAAATATCGAATAGTCTAAAATAAACATGCAGAGCTATGTACATGTAGCTACGTTATACGAACATACCTATACCTACTTGTTTGCATGTATGCATGTTTTAGGTTTGTAGATTTGTATATATGTGTGTATGTATCTATATATGAATGTATGTATGTATGTACAACTACGTGTAGAATAACGTGCTCTATTTTTAGATCTCTCCAAATTGGAATTTTGTTCATATCATTTTTTTTTTGTTTTGATATGAATTGTTTTCCAGAATCCTGTGAAGATCATTTGCATCAATGAAAATATAAAGGTCAATTCGTTTTATAACATTATTTCACGAATAAATTGGAATATGGTTGAAACATGAAAGTGTTAGTACATTTTCATCAATTTATTAATCCGTTTCAGTACATGCTAACTTTTTGAAGCTTTTTCAATACGTATAAAAGAAACATCTATTTTTATAATTTAATTTTTTTAAAAGTTCGTTTAAAACGGATAAATTTCTTAGTAAAATTAACTTGATTGATTTTCTACGAATTAACATGAAATTCATTAAAAGTATGAGTATGAGATTTTGTAACGTTACATTTTGTCTGCCCATAAAAATAATATTATTGCTACATTTACTGCTTCATGTCTTTGTTCCTCATTTTAATACATGATCGTTTGTAGCATCTAAATTTGATGTACTATACAGAGTGCTCAAAAACAGAAGGTTTCGTTTATATCGCAGCTCAGTTAAATACGGGTTCAATCTAAAAAAGTTGTTCAGAATGCCAAAATGTGGAATTGCGGCAATATTGCAAAATTTTTGGGATATTTGACTCGAAAAAAACATCGCCGTGACTTTTTAACTTTATCTCATTATACAATATTTAACTGTGCTGGCTTTTAAACAAAACCTTCTTTTTTTTGTATTTTGAACACTCTGTATATTACATCATTTTAGATGCTGCAAACGTATTAATAAAACTACCAATCGTGAAGCGATGTTAAATTGCTTAGTTTGGTGTTTTGTGGTTTGAATATATGTATCTCGTAAATTCAATATCCTAATGTTTATTATTTTCAACCTCACGCTGATCTACTTTCTTTTATTAATAGGGCTTTACCATACGCTATGGCGGGTTAAAAATAAAAACGGTAAAGTTTTTTTTTTTTATCAACGTATTTTTCTACAGTGAACTTCAACCTGGTCTCAAAATTACCCTAAAATATTGAAATTTCGAGATGAGCTAATTTCAAAATAAAGAAAATCAAATTAGTATTATTCAGATATTGAGATTAAAATAGGTCAAAATATTGATATGCTGGTGCTGGATTGAGCAACAATGTCATGGCAAGTTGTAGCCACAGCTTCTAGGAGCGAGTGACTTTGTTGGCCTATAAGATTATAATTGTTTTTTATTAATAATGCATAGAAAACAATAATGAAAGCAGAGCGTTAAAAAACTCAAGATTTTTGGTATGAGGGATATGGTTCTAGTTCAGTTCAACATTTTCTTTAGGCTGACGGTAAATTGGTGTCACTTTTAAAATGAGTTAATTTTAAACACGCCCTTAACCTTAAAAAATGAATTTTGTAAAGCCGTGGTTGCTTTTAAAGTTCAGAGAGAAATAGAAAATAATTAACGTAACCGGAAACGAATGTCGTGCTTTTTCCGTAACATTGAATGCCTTTTATTTAAGTGACAGTTTGTATCGGCCCAGTGAATGATTATCACTCTTTTGCTTAATTGTCGGGTCAAAAGGGCCCAAGTCTGAGCGCACAAACCTAAGCCTAATGTACTTTGCAGTTACCA